ATTTTTTTTCATGGACTGATATTCCGAGGTGTTCTCTTCGAAATGGGAGTAAAGTGAGACCTTGATTTTCTACGGTTCGGACGAGTCCCGGGACTGGCACTCGGTGACTCTTGGTACCTGCCTTGACTTCTGGTGCCGATAGTAGGCGTTAGGGGCAACTTCGTTTTCTTTTTAGAAATACTCATGGGTACTATTTAGCGAGCAAGGATTGATTTTTTATTCAATTGATCGAAACTTAATCGAGATTTTCCTCAAATCATGAGGCATCTAGGAATTTTAATTGAAAAAACGATGGCTTCTTCAAAACAAACCAATTCGACATTCCATTTTTGTAATGCGGTTTATCGGATCACTACCATCAACTGTTGCAAAGAACAGGAAAAGTCATCTCGTACACTTCAACTACTATTTGTATATTAAAAAGATTTGAAAATGATCTAGTAGATTCTACTGACTTTCAGAAAAAAAGATGAGAACCTTCTATCAGTTCTCAGAAAAGATTTCTGCAACTAGGTTTTTCTACCCAGTTTAACTCAGCTGTAAAATACAATAATACCTTGATTGGGTTTTCATCACTGGTAAATCACTGAATGGCGATGACATAGCTACATCTGATGGACTAAGTGCTCATGGCTGGTGTGGTACTATTGCTTCTTGCGATAAATATGACCATTGGGATTGAGCGAGCTGCGACGGTCGTGTAGGAAATTGAGATGAATTTGGTGCTACTGAAGATAACGAGTTTGTTGCTCTTCTTATTGTTGGTGGTGGATGTGGTGATGGAGCATGTGGCGATGAGAATGCCCACTCGGATCGAAAGGAGTTGGGGACTAATGGTTGTGTCATAGACAGGAGTGGATATATTGAAGTCGCCATCTAGTTAACATAGAAAAAAAGAACGTGTCATGAGTTTAAAAAGCAGAATCAATTTTTCCATCAGACATTATGTTACTCAGATCCATTGGATAATTTTGAAGCTTTAATGTGCATTGAAATGCATGAAATTGTAATTTTTGGTCAACAATGGATGTTATTTCATTAAAACTAGGTTTCATAAATTAATTATGACAAAAGCCGTCTAAAACAGTGAAACTGTTCGAACTGTTCTTCAACAGCTCCCGTGTTGCTCAATACTCGTATTTTCAATATAGTTAGTGATAATTTAGGGATAGTAATAATGATAAATTTTAGAGCAGTAAGCTGTGTGGAGTGAACATTTCTCTAGAAATGAAATGTTACACAACTATCAGCGACTCTTAATTACCGAATTATAAAAGTTTTCCCGAATACTCAAACACCAATTCTAGAACTAGCGCATACCTAGTTAGCATGAGATATTTATGTAAACTTTAATTTCCGTTCATTAGGACTTGTTAATTTTTGCAATATATGCTAACGTGTTAACCGTTTATCATTGGCTAACAACCATTATTCAATAAGAAAACACTTTTAGTGTTTTATAATTCATTGAAAACATAATGTATTACCTTACTTTAATGAAGGTAACGTCTTTTACAATATGACCATCTATTATAAGGAATCTTTGACGCGTTGCAATACACTACTACTAGAAAAACGAAGCTTAATACATTAGCATACATTAAAAAAATCATCTTACTTTTCTTTTTTATACTCTAAAAAACCAACTACCTCAGAAAACTGAAACTGTGTGACAAATAGGAAACTGATGTGACTGGAAATTTGCAAAACTGATTTTTTCATTTTGCGGAAGAACAGAAATTGAGTTTTTCATTTTTTTCAGATCCCTATAAGGGACATCTTTTTTCCAGAAAACATTAGGTCAAAAAACACATTTCTGTTCTTCGCTTTTTTCAAAAAAGCTGAGTCTTATTCTTTCTTGTAGCTATCCAACTTTCAGTTCTATACCGGTGATCAACTACTGAAGTATATTTTATACTGTATAAATACAATCAACTGGAGACTTGTATGAGTAAAGAAAACTATGTAACCTGCATCCTACTTCGACTGATATTTGGAATCTGATTCTATCCGGATCGAATCAGGTTTCAGACGCTGTATGTACTCGACTCGTAGGGTTCGAGTCAAATTTTAGAACTCTGTTGTCAAGAACAAATATGTTCGCAAAGTGTGCACGTTGTTGTTATATAATGAGATATTTGCAAGAATAATTTTAAGCTCCTGTAAGAAAAAATCATGTCTCTTATATATACGTCAGGAATTGGAAAACAAAACCGGCGATCGACATATGTGATCTTCTTTTCCTTTTTAAATTTCGAGATCTTTAAGAGATAATCCGCGAGAGAACCGACTACATCAGTCGGAGCTAAAATTTTTTTTTTCTCTCAGTATTCTAGTTCGAAAGAGCTCTTCCAAATACTAGGAAATCCAAGATATCTCGCCTTCGTATACGAAGGCGAGATATCTTGGATTTCTTAGTATT